CACCAGCTCACTGGGGAGGTCACCAGAGCCAACACTGTGTGTCTGTTCCCCATTCCTGCTTTTGGGACAAGATAGGAACCTGCTGTGCCCCTTCCTCACTCTCAATAGGATGGTCTCACCTGGATCCTGCTGACTAACTGTAGCACATCAGTGCCTCTTCCCTTCTGTGTTGGAGGCAGCAACCTGATCCATCCTGCACTCTTTGACCATCCCATTTCCTGGAGGAGAATGATGGTGCGAGGCTGGGACATTCCCAGAGCTGTCAGTATACATGAAGACAAGCACAGAGCATTGCTTACGTAAAAGTTTTAATGGAAAGTCTTTGAATACTTGAAGTACATTGGAGACTGTTTCCAAAACAATGCAATTTAGGAGCCTTCCCCCTCACCCAAAGTTATCTGTAAATCAGCAGCTACATACATCCTGTCCTTAATATAGAATCGAGCAGACAGCTGCTAAAATAAACAGCCTTCATAACACAATCTGTGGCAGGCCACAGCAGCAGCTAGATCTTTCCTGAAGCAGAGCACTTGTGCAGTGGTCAGGGAGCCCAGATGCAGCAACCATGTGTTGAAACTGAGGAATGTCCAGAAAAGAGGCACATAGCTCAGCCCTAGAGAATCTCTTTATTGCTGTGGCCATCCAGCTCAACACTAGCAGCTCATATAGGCAAGTTTCCAGCCCTCTGAAGTAGAAAAACCCCAACTGCCACACTGACGTTCTGCCTTCTGGGATGTGGGAGCTGTAGCCATCAGCTTCAAAGAGCAGAAGTATTTGGCTCTGGGGACCTTCTGGACAGGATCAGCAAGAATGGCTTGCCTTCTGCCAGCTCCACAGTGTGCCTCTGTGAGAAGGAGACAGCAGCAGCACTGGCTTGATGAAGTTCAACCTAGTCTATTCTTCATTGATAGAGCGAACCAGCACTTCACCCCAGTGCTGCTGCTTTGCAGCCCAGATTGCATCACTCTCCCAAGCACAGCCTGTCCATTGAGAGGAAGGTGACAGCAACCACATCTCTGAGCTAGAAGGTGGCAGAGACCAGCTTCCTATGCAGATGTGAGAGCCAGCTGATATATTCATTCCTTATGCTCCTGCACCCTTCTGCAACCCTTTCCACCTGTAAAACAAGGTGGCTCTGGCTGTGGGGATCAAGTGTTTGTTAAAGCCCATGTTAACTTAAACACTCTTGTGCACAGTTTAGCTCAGAAGCTTTCTTAAATGTTTGGGCATTTTATTTTGCAAGGACTGAGCAGTTTCTGTGCGAGGCTGCTGAAAAGCTGATTTGGTTGAGTAAGCTGAAGTTCTGGTGGGCAGCTGTCCTTCAGTAAAGCTCTCCCCTAGAGTTTTAGAGCTCATACGGCCTCCCCTTGAACACAGCACTCAACATAAAAGCATCCTGTTGCTCTGACCTTACAGCAAGCTCTGTTCTGAACCTGGTTCCTTGCTCCAGCAGTGGCACAGGAATAGTGTTCTCCAGCGGATTCCCCTGTCAGCTGCTAGTGATCTCTTTCAGTTAAGCTGAAGCTGCCACACTGCACTAACTAGAAGGCTGGTTACTCAGCCACTCGAAGGAAATTAAGATGTCTCCTCAGGCCTGAGGCAACACAACTCCACATCCAGAGAAAGAAAAAGTGTTTTAGGACAGTAAGGAGTCCTGTAGTTGCTCACTGTAGTAACACATAGGAGGAGGAGAGAGAACTACAAGGAGACCTACCTTATCTAAGTTTCTGTTTAGTGTCACTGTTTCTCCTCCCCTCCTTACATCAGGCAAAAGACACGCACCAGCCGAATCAACCCTTGAGCACTGCCACTCACACTGCTGATAACCACATCATTACAAAAATAACATTTCAGCTAATCAAAAGCCAGCTGATTAAAAAGTACCATAAGCTCCCCCCCCACCCCAAAATGTGCTTCTTTCAAGAAGCTGCCTTCTGAATGGCTGAAAACACTGCAAATTCATCCATGCCTATCAGAACACAGCTTTTTACCAAATCCCTGCCACTCCACCCCACTCCTGTGTGCGTTTAATTCTGTCAGTGGGCCCTGACTGGATGTAATGGACACAAAGTCCCCAAAACAGAGTATTATATTAGAATAATCAAGTCTGTCTTAGAAAATAAATATCTTGGATACTTTCCTGCAAGGAGAGACCAGTCTCACTGGCCAGGGTTCCATGGCACACTTGCTGTCTGCAGTGATCCAGAGCAGAATGACCCGCACTACTACATGAAAACAGAACATCTCTGAAATATAGGTTTCTTTAAAAGCAATAAATACTTCTTGACTCTTAAGATCATCTATTAACCATAAAGTAGGAAAGGTCTGCAAGGGTTAGAGGAAAGAATCTTACTCCTAGTAACATAACCCTAAAGAAATAGGATTCCTAGTATTTACAGTTGTATTTCAGAAGCAGAGACTGTGAATTCAGCATTATCACAGCTGCTACATGCAGGCTTGCCAACAGTCAACACTGCTCAACTCAGCACGGCCGAGCGTCAGTATGCTCAGGAAGGAAATGTGGAAAGCTCTTCTGTAGTTCCATTCCTGCTTATCAGCCAGCCTAACAGGCCTCACACAAAGCAAGTGGAGGCCCAGTTCCTTAGAAGCAGTAAAACAAAGGTAACTACTTATATTACACAGGTCCCAACGCTGACGTCTCTCCCTGGCTCCAGGCACTCACACTGAAGTCAGGATGAAATGCCCCGTTCTGCGGAATGGATGTCCTGGAGTTAAATCTGCTGAACTCACAGCCCCTGGGAATGAGCCAAAGCTTTCTATGCTCTAACAGGGTTGGAGACTGTAGGAAAGAGTCTGTTAGCAAGAAGCTACACCGAGGGAACTTACACCATAGGACCTCTGGAGGAAGCATATGGCAACTTTTCACAAAGCCCCTCCACAGAGAACAGAGACTGAAGAGAGAACAGATTTCATACATTGAAGTTTTGACTTCTCTTGTCTCTACTGAAGTCTTAAATTCAAAACTGTGAGCAGGAAAACCAGTCCAGAACTATGCAGTGGTGTAGCTGAGGAAAATCAGATCTGCTGCTGAAGAGAGCAATCCAAGGAAGCTCACTTGATGGAAGGGATTAATCAAAGTGAGACAAAAGGCAGAGCAGGGGCAACAGAGATATTTCTTGACGTCATTTTCCAGAATGCCTTGAGAAGGAAGAACTGGGAACAGCTTCACTGCAAGGTCTCTACAAAGGCATCAAACTCTTTGACATTTTTCTCATGGACTGCGAGCTTCTCTGGTAACGAGTCCTGAGGGGTAAGAAAGGGGCAGGTCAGAGCTCATTCACAGCAGATCAAAAGAAGCTTTAAACACACAGGCAACCCCTCTCTGGTGCTCTGTGCTCCCCTTCCTACGTGCACAAAACCAGGAGTCCTCTGGCAGCATCCAGCAAGTGACCCTGAGAAGGGCACCCTGCCCACAGTGTGTTCTGTAAGAACAGTAGGTTCACTGGAGCCTCGCCTTGTGCAATTCCTGCCACCAGCTGCAGCACAATAACCTGCTCATGTCACTGCCTCCATCAAGCCACTTGCAGCTCTCAGCCTCTGGGCTTACAATGCCTGTAAGCCCATTACAGCACTCACTCACCCATACATGACTTTCACCAGCCACACCAGGGGTTTACCTCTGCTCAGGCTGCAAGATCAGGCCTAGTTTGCCACTAAGTTTGACACACCAGAGGCAGGATTAGTTTTTGGGGTTTCAGTGACAGCCACAGCAATGCAATGGCACCTTTCAGCTTGAAGCTAAACACACCAGTTTCAGAGTGTGCCACAAACAAATTTACACTTGGCTGGAAAGTATTAGTGAGGGATCCCCTTTGGGCAGGGTCTCTCTTCTGAGAAGTACAGGAAAGACAATGGATCTGCTGGAGTGGGTCTGGAGGAAAGCCATAAAAACAATCAGAGGGATGGAGTATCTCCACGATGAGGAAAGGCTGAGAGAGCTGGGCTTGTTCAGCCTGGAGAAGAGAAAGCTCCAGGGAGACTTTGTGGCCTTTAAGTAATTAAAGGGATCTTACAGATGGGGACAGACTTTATAGCAGGGCCTGCTGTAGTAGGCGAAAAGGTAAGGGTTTTAAGCTAAAAGAGGGTAGATTCATACTAGCTATAAGGAAGAAATTTCTTAAGATGAGATGGTGAAACACTGGACCAGGCTGCCCAAAGAGGTGGTAGATGCCCCATCCCTGGAAACTTTCAAAGCCAGGTTGAGCAGCCTGGTCTAGTTGAAGATGACCCAGCTTATTGCAGGGGGTTGGACCTTTAAAGGTCCCTCTCAACACAAACTGTTCTATAATTCTATGAAAATACAATTTTTTTCAAACTAGGAATAGGGAGAGCATTACAAACTACGTATGATTCCCATAAAAAGAAACATCAGGGCTCCATACCAAATCCTCTGCCATGGACTGTGCTCCAATGTCAATGGAGAGGCTGCTGAGTTGAGGGGGGTTCTGGAACTCACGGTAAAACGTTCCCAGGTCCATTGGAAGAATGTCATCCTTTGAAAATGCTGGTTTCTAGAACCAAAGATACTGCTGTTAATTCACATTCAGAGGTGGTGGCTTCCCCTCCACTATAATCTCAGGTAATGTCATTACCTACTATCTGTGAACCTCTTGGCATTACAACTGTTGCTGCAATAACGCAGATTAAATAACTGAAGAATAGCCAAGATCTGTGCCTGCCTGAGCAATAGGAAGAGAACATTTCCTTGGCATCCTTTAGGCATTAGACAAGAGGATGCCAAGCCCAGGTGTTGGAAGGGAACTGAGAGTATTTAATTTGTAGCTATTGGTTCCAAGTTATCAGTCTCTCTGCAGTTTGGGGACCATCAAGCTCTAGTTTGGAACTGAGACACATGGGTCCTTTACACCCCCACTGAAAACTATTCTTACATCATTTGTCATTGCATCAGCACCTGAAGCCCATCTAAGCAGCAGGTGTTATGTGAGAGCACTGATGAGGGCACTTACAAAGTCAATCATAACAAAGTCATCATGGGTGTTCCCTGTGCTGCTGCCACTGGAGCCCTCCGAGTGTAAGCTGCCTTGTAGAGGAGATTCAGTTTCTGGGGAGTCAGGAGGATTGACCTGGCCAAGAAATCAAAGATGGTGAGTACTGATCTTATAACCACATCTGTCTGTGTATTCTGATAGTGTGGGGACAGTTAGGAGGTCGGATAATGAACACATGCTACAGCAGGGGCAGCAAACACATACTGTTATTTGTACGTCTAGAGAGCCCAAGATTAACATGGGAGACAAAACCAAACAAACCTAAATAACTAGTTCTTTCCTCAAATTATGAAGTGTATTCAAAGTACAGAATAGCATGGATGTTGCATAAGGGATGCTGAGGAAGCACACATTATACCTCTGGAAGAGGCTTACCAGGGGGTCGTTATCTTCCAGTTCAACATTCTTGGGAGCAAACATGGCAAAAGGAATGTCTAAGTTGGCCATGGTCACCTGGGGAGATTCAGCAAACAGAATTTCACTAAGATGCTCTTACCCAGCACAGAAAAGGGTACTAAAAGTCTTTGCCCAAGATTATGTCAGCAGTTAGGCAGGAGGCTGATAACCTCATTTCAAAAAGGTATAAAACAGGGAAATTGTACTCTGCTGACTTAATGCAGACGCATGCCCTGAGGTGGGATTGCTGCTATACATCTTGTATACTACAGACAAGGATTAACAAACTGCTACAAATCCAATCAGTTCTTCATCCATCCAAAAGGCCTAGAACAGCATCCTTAGGAACTGGACAGATCTCTAAGCCACCTCAGCTGAGCTTAAATGCTTGCTTACTAGTGGTCAACTGGTCTACTGCATGGCAGGCTTCTTACCAGCTTCCCCAGTTTATGAACCTGTGGTAGTGGCATTATTGTGAGACCTGAGTATCAACTGTTCCATACACAAACGGGGTTCTGGCAAAGTGTGTCTGTCACATCCCAAAAGGATTTTATGAAAAACAAGCCTTGCAGCTGGCAGAACACACTCTCCAGGGTTGTCCTAGCACTGGGTGCTTTTTGCTCCTCTGTGTAGGAACAGATGGGAGCAGCAGGGTACTGTGGTGCCCTCTGAGAAGATCTATTGTTAGTTACCTGGTTAATGGGTTTGTTGACAAAAGCTCCCACCTTCCGGATAAAGATGGTCTCCAAAAGGTCATGTGGGGAGCCACATTTCCCTTCGCTGCTGTTTGATACTGTTTCTGTGTCCTCACTGGGGGAGGAAAATAGAGCAATTACTGACTCGTGGTACAAACAACACTGACAAATCCCATGCTTGACAGGATTCCTTTATTCTTCTGGGTTTACTCCTAGTATTGGAAGGACAACAGAAATCTGTCCTTGTACTGCAGGTTCTTTCTCAGTTATAAGCACAAAAGAGGAGGGGGACACCAATGGAATCAGATTCGTATTTAAAGCTGGATGAAAACTATTTAGCTGAAAAGCTGCTGCCACCTGAAATAGGTTTTTCTTTTTGGAGATGGACTTTTAGCTTCAGAATGTGCATGTTCACAGCAATTCCTGTTCATCACTATTATTTTTCAGTAATACAGTAGTCACATAGGGAGGTGCTAGTGCAACTGTGATTTTTGGTTTCCTTGTAACAAAATGACCGCTTAAGATCCTCGACTCAGAACTATGTGACCCAGAGAGACTGTACAAGAAATAAACACAGTAACTAAAAAAGAATAGAAGGATTTCATTAGCTGAGAGGGAGGTGATTTAGGACAGTCTGAGCTTGCATTGTTTCCTTTTAAGTAACTTTGTTCGTAAATAGTGAACAGATTTGCAGTAAGTACAGCTGGTTTGGTAACAATTCACATTAACTCTGGAGAATTTAAGACTCACTTGAGAACTTATTTCACTGTGTTGTTTTACAATGAGCAAATACAGTAAAGAGATTAGAAAAGATATAATTGATAATAAAGTTGACAAAACAGAAGCTGCAAGGATGTTACAATGACCAGCAGGTGCAAGGAGGTGGGTGAGATCACTGCTTGGAGAAAGGCTTAAAAAAGGCTGATGGAGAAAAAGCCCCATCAGAGAAAACTGCTTGCTGTTTTGGGGGATGGAAGACAGTAGTTATGTTACAGACAAAGAGGGGATGCCAACAAGTTTTATCTTAGTAGGATTATAATTGGGCTAGCACAAGCGGTAGATCATCTGAAACCAACCTACCTACTAGAAGGAGTAGCTGCTGAGTAGTGGCCTCCATCAAGTGGGGTGCACATCCTCTCTTGGTCAGCTTGAGTGCCATGTGCTGGCTGGCTGGGAATTGGAGGAACTCCCCCCTCTTTGCCTGGGCCAATCAACTGGGATGGAGAGAACAGGCAAGTTGGAGATCTCAGAATCGGGCAAACACCACAGTGCAATACAGAGCAGATTCTGTCATATTGGGACTAAGGTGTGGGATTTTTGGCATATGGCTGGGCTCTAGCCCCCATAAGGCTGAGGGAGGTGTCAAGTAGAAGGTGATCATCACAAGACAATTGGTTTTATTCCCTTCCTACTCCACTTCAGGCCTGTTTTACACTGCAGAGCTCTCTGGCCTTAGTTCCCTTGCTTCAAGGAGAAGCAGGGGAAAAATAATCACATCCTCTTGCTATGACCTCACTGCTCTCTACAGCTTCCTGAGGAGAGGAAGTGGCTAGGGAGGTGCTGATCTCTTCTTCCTGGTAACATGTAGGAATGGTTCAGAGCTGTGCCAGGAGAGGTTAGACTGGACATTAGGAAGCATTTCTTTACTGAGAGGGTTGTTAAACACTGGAACAGGCTTCCTAGAGAGGTGGTCAATGCCTCAAGCCTGTCATACTTTTTCCACATGACCCTACCTCAGTAAAGGCAGAATGCTGAGGATCCAACTCTCAGACTCTGTGCAAAGTTGTGCTTTCTTTATATTTACCTTACATTCTTTTCACTTCTGTCAGACAGGATACTAATGCATGCACTAGCGTCAAGGCCTCTCTGAGATGTACAAGTGACAAAACTGATTGCAATACCAGCCATGCTTGTTCTACCCTCTACAAGTACCTGGTGAGGGTGTGCAGCATTCAAGCCACCAGCATAGAGTACAGGATACCCCATGTCAGCTGATCCAACTCCCAGGGCAGCAGGCTGATAGGAAAGACGAGAGCTGGAAAGCTAAGAAAGAAGAGAAAAAACACAAGGGCAAAGGGAGAGGAAAGAGGAAGGGGAAGGGGAATGCCCCCAGTCTGAATAATCATCAGTCACTGAAGAAGGAACAGGAAAAGTCAGAGGTACAGCACAGCATTTCAGGCTGGCAGAAGGATGCTAGGTTTTCATTGGAATCAATAATGAGGGCTGTTACTATAAAACTTCTTACTGCAGGGCGCTAAGTCTGGGCCTTGACAAGAAAACGAGACTGGTTTCCTACACACATAGGAGAAAGCTGTGCAGGGTACAACTGACATTCACAGGGAAGCTCTGCTCTACAGCTCTCTTTTTGAGACTGAAAGCATAAATGCCATCATCAACTCATTAAAGGGCTAATACCTTTTTCCTCAAAACAACTGCATTATCAACTGTTTGAACCCATTCCCACTGCACATTGAACAGGCGTTGAAGATACGTACATATCCTCAGCCAAAGAATAGAATCCGTAAACATCCTAGGTAAAGAGAACCAGGTCTCTCACAAAACTAACCCTTGTGAGATTGCTTTAGGAATGAAGTGCTGGAAACAGTGAAAGCCAGAAGGTCCTTACACACCCCAGCAGAAATCTCGCTGGTTGGATTAAATAAAACTTTCCTGTTTTAGCTTACCTGACCTCAAGAGAAACATTCTTTTCAGAGCTCTGTGTGTGATACTCCAGCAACACCAATGCTGACATCATTTAGAGGGGTCTGAATGATGAACAGCAGGTTATTCACATGGGGCTAGTTAAGCTGAATGGAGCACTACCGACTGTGTAGGATCTAGGGACACTGGCTATTAAGAGAAAACACTCAGCACTGTGCCTTACTACTTGGGTACTTCACTAACAGTCTGTGCAACTGCTGCTGCTTAGTTAGGGATGCTTGTCCTGTCTTTGGGAGACCTTCATCTATAAAGGCATTTAAGCAGCCAGTCTCAACAATATGCCTGGCCCATTTTGCATTCACCAGCCTTTCTCATGCACAACATTGCATATTGTTAAATTTCTACTTTCCTGTATTTGTTCTGGCATGCTGGAACTGTATCTGGCCACACATAACATATTCTATTGACAACTCACTTGGTGTGAAAAGGCCAGTCCCATCACTGGGACCTTCAGGGTGTCCGTCACCACAGGAGGAGGGGTCTGAAAATGTGCCTTTGTGACAGTAAAAACACACTGTGCACAGAGACAGACACACAGAGGAAACAAGGAAAAGAGAGAGAGTAAGAGAGAGGGAGAGAGAAAGAGAGAAGGACTTCAGAGAAGAACTATGAAGAGTTGGATGAACTGAATGCTAGTGAAGAGGTTTGGGCTGCAGCAGCCACACCTACACATGGAGCAGAAGTCTCAGTATTGCCAGAAGCCCATTAATTTTGTAAGGAATTGTCTGTTTTCCAATCTCAGTGAACTACTCAACACAGGTTATATTGGAGACTCCAGTGAACACTGAAAGTAACTGCCAGAGGCTCTGTTCCACAGGTCACTAGAACTGAACCAGATAAACAGCAAGGAGAAGGCTGAGCAGATGCCACAAAAAGCCAAGGGTATTTATTTTCCAAATGTAAAAATTACATGTATTCCAGTAATCTCCATCCATACATACTCCTTATCTCCCAGCATTATGAGGCATCATATCTTGGCAGGTATGTGCTGCACCCTTAGAATAAAGGGGACCCAGACTGAGGTGCAATTCAAACACACTGATATGAAGAGAGAACTCCATCAACCAGAGTGATGTTCCAGAGGTAAAGGCTGTCTTACAGAGGGTACTAATGCAAAAATGGCAATCCAAACCTGGTTCAGTCCCATACCTTCTCTCAGTCACTTTCTTACCAACAGTTTTCAGATTAGGACAGCTTTGTTTCTGTGTATTGCTCATGGACAGACTTTCTCCTGAATTTTTGGCTAGTTAACAACATAAAGACATGCTATGCAAGCTCGCAGGGAGAAAGTAACAACTATTCCCTTCTATCACGCAGGTTAGGCCTCATTTCTACTGGGAAGGCAGGCAGAGATTTGGACAATTTGCCTATAGGAAACTGCCACACAGTTCCCAGTATTTTCCTACATGTTAAGCTGTATACAGAAAGCTAGAGAAGGAAATGAGTTTCTTTTTTCCCCCTTCTAATCTACTTTAGAGATCACTCTGCCACGACAACCTTACAATTCTAACTGTGGTAACAAAGACTGGCTTTATAAATAAGCACACAGCATATGGCAACTATGAGCCACAGAAAAGCAAGAACGTAGGCTCATACTCAGTGTGAATCCTCAAGGTTTGTCTGGTTTCATAAAGCTTTTCCCCTCAGTGACAGCAAAGCTTCATGTACCCTGGGGAGATGTCAACCTCAATGTATTTACACTGTATTACTGTTAAGTAACACTGGCATGGGTCACTGGAAATTTCCTTATAAAACCTTTTGCATTTAACCCATTTTGTGAAAAGGCAGGACACAACTTGGCTACAAACTCATCTTCTGAGCTATGTATCACAGAGTAAGAAAAGCTTTATTCCATCAGACTTACTGCAGGTGCTGATCAGTTCAACATTACCTGATGCCCTGTCACCCAAAAGCCACTTAGCACAAAAATGCTTCCTAAGGAAAGCTCATTTCTTAGGAAATAGCTCATTCATACAGTAAAATGCACTTTGCTAAACCAGTCATGCTAATTCCTCTGAAGTAGTGGAAAGACCCATTCAGTTTGGAGCAGCATTCCAATTATAATTCATTCTATGTTTCACATGGGCATCAAAAGAGATTGAGAGTCTTTAGATTGTCTTGAAAAATCAGTAAAGACATCTGTTTGGCTGGACAAAAAGGCAGGAAACATTCCTGAATGTTTAAAGCTATAGGACGACTACAAATCTGACTAAGTCTTCAAAATATGGAATTGTGGAGTCGGGTATATAAGGACAGTAAAAGTAGGAGTTAAGAGTTTCTGGGGTTTTTATATTCAGAAGGAAACCATCAGCCATTCATTTTAGAATGAAAACTGAAATTTGCATGGGTAGGTGTAAGTACAGAGTATTAAGTCCTTAGTTCAGTACTATGATACCTTTTTTTTTCTTGCTGATATGTATTCCTGCTGCCCCAACTAGTTTTAGATGGTCCAGCAAGTATGGCTATTGTCTTTTTCCTGCTTTTCCATTCTGCACTGTGCTATAAGCATTTTCCTGATATTTCAGCGTTTCTTTCTCAGTCTGTCACCTCTACTTTATGTTGCCTGGCATCAATCTCTTGAGTTCCTTCCTCTTCTTGCAGCACTAGGATGTGACTGTATAAGTACACTGCTATACTCTTCAAGCACATCTCAGCCCAACTATACTGTAGGTTCTTTGAATTTCAGTAATTCAGTCTTTCCAGTCTCCTAGCATTTTGTTAAAATCAGTATCTAACTAGTTTTCTACTGAGAGTGTAACAATATAAATAACCCATATACTAAATTCTCATCAGCATCAGGAGGCTGCCTGTTTGCACAGTGGTTGATATAGGAGTACGCACACTACCCTAACAGCAATTATTCTATCTAGGAGTTAAAAAAGTCTGGTTTCCCTTACCTGAGATGGAGGAGAGGTAGAAAAAGATGTGGTACACACTTCTTGGGAATCTTCTACTGAGGGGTATGCTGCACCATTGTCCTCACCAGCTCTAAAGCAGCAAGAAAAGAGAAGCTTTCTAACTGGAAATACTCCTTAAAACAAAGAAACAGTAAAACACACTGGGACAAGCACTGCAGGGAGGTTGAGAGTATTTGGGTGGAATTAAAAGGAAAATTATGAAGGGATCTCCTCTACTTAGCAGAACTGAGGAAAACAAGGTATGAAAACTAATTTTCCCCAGGTGTTCCTCTTCTACCTTCAAGCACAAACACTTCTGAGTATCTAATGCTACTGGCTTTGGTGTTTACAGAACCATTGTCAACTGGTCCCAGTCTCAGTGCCCTCACATGCAATTTAGAGAAGACAAACATCTCATTGACAAACAGGAATTAAACTCTGATGTTTCCCCAATGGAAATATCTGGAGATGCATGCCTCAGGACACATAGTTCTACAGCAGAATTAACTGTTACATTTCAAAGGCAGGCAAGGTTAAACATCCTTTGTGTCCAAGTACTTCTGTAAGGAATGGGGGCACCTACTGGGCCTTGCTGCACTCAGTCTTCTAGATATGAGGGAGAAATGTCACCCTTCCTCATATGCTCAACCATGTCGATATGGTTTGACACTTATCCTCCAGTCTCCCTTCCCATGCAGTCAGCAAATAGTGGAAAAGGCTCTGTATTTGGGCATAACTGATGCCTTCACCATAACCCATGACTTCAACTCATTATTTCCTCACCTGTAATTGCAGGGATGCATGGGTGAAGAGCTGGGATAGGGACGGTCCACAAAGTGATCAATGATAATCCCCATGATAGGAGGGGTCCTCTCAAACTGCCTGAAAGGCAACAAGTCATGGTGTTATTGGCTTTTTCCCCTCTACTCTCATCCCAATTCATGGCATCCTCACAGAAAGCCCTTGTGTCTATTACTGGGACCAGAGCATCATTACAGTTCAGCCCTGCAACTCCGAAACTGCATCAACAATTTGGAGTTCTAGAGTATGGCTCAGGGCTACCTAAATACTCCCCTTGCTTCAAGACTTAACCATGAGAAAGAGTATTCTCCATGAAGGAGAATCCTGGGAGGGAAGGACAAGCAGAACAAAAAGATTTAGGGGCTCATAACACGTGGGGTTTAGTAGTACACTACTGTAAAACAGGTTCTGGCATAATCATGTTTTCTCACCTGTTTGACATGAAAGCAAGGTTGATTCTGTAAGCACAAGACAAAGTGATGGTGCCCACTGGGGTACCCACTGTCCCAACACGGACCGTCTGGAAACCTGTAAGGTTAAGAAATGATTATCAGTTTCACTGATTATTTATGTTCCATACTTCTTCTATTCTGAGGTTACATTATCTTATTTCTATACTGTTTCAATTATCCCTTGCAATCTGAACTCCAAAGGCTTGTATAGAACCCATAAAAATAAAAAAAGCAGGACTATGTTGCCTTGCTGGTAGGCTTTGTTCATGAGACTTCTGATGTTGCTTCCCATCTTAGTCTAAAATACTTCTCTGAAATGCTTCTTGTTCCTGAGCAGATCATGGTCTTCTTTACTAGTCCTGCTCCTTATCAACATACTTCCATATTCTTATTTCAGTTCTGGATCACTAGAGTCCAAATGGCAATCGCCCTATATTTTGTCCAAGTACCACCATTATACTTATCGCCTTATGTCACAACCCTTCACTGGTAGGTCCAGATAGAAAGTATATGCAAACCTCAGACTTAATATTCCTTATGGCACTTAGGAACAGTAATAAATGCCTAGCCAGTATGGGGAACAGTTCTGCTCTAGTTTGTGTGTGTTGCCTGATCATACCTTCTCCCAGGCCACTCAGTTGCACTTCACCAAAATATATCCTGCAGGAAAAGGAAAAAGAAAAGGTATTAAGTCCATGGGGGGCATAATGCTATACATATCTTTATTGCTTATTTGATTTCGTGAGTTGAAAGGCTGGAACTACTTTTTCTCTTTAGGAAAAAGACAAAAGAAGTGGATAGAATGCCCACCTCGAGAAACCCTCCAGCTACATATCTTAGAGCAAGAGATGTCATGTAGAAAGAGAAAGGAAGATAAAACAGTAGTCTAATCAAAAATTTCTGTTTCAGTTTTTTAAGCCTCTGGCAAATCTACAGTTCAGAGCAAAAATGAGAAGTGACATAAACTTCACAGACAAGTCTGAGTCTAAAAGTGAATACTCATCATGTAACATAAAAGATTAACTGTGCTATGAAGAGACCTGCTCTTAAGTATATGCCAAAGCAGCAAGGCAGGCAAAAATGAAGCAATGGCTGGGATTTCTTTTTAAGCTCTCAGCTGTGCAAATGACAGCAAACCTGAGATTTAGAACCATCTAAATTAGCTATGCAAACATGTCAAAGACTTTTCCCAAAGCCCAAAACAAAGACTGGAGGGTGATAACCATGAATCATAAGCCAGATCTCACAGGCTTAAAGAGAGCTGAACTCAGTATTTGGATGAGTAAACTGCAAGAACAACAGGAAGTGGAGCTGAGGATGCATCTTTAAAATGAAACAGCAGAATGGAGTATGAATCTATACTGCAAAAGTATGCACTGCAGTTATGTGCAGCATAGACAGGCATTTGTCAAATATAGGCCAGACACTGAACAACTGGATTCTAGTAAGCCATTTAACCAGTGCTTGCATAGAGAATTCTTATAATCTTCTCAGCATGGTAGGCAACCAACAATACTTCACAGTCCATGCTTATTTTGATGATACACTGCCCAAATTTCTTTTCTCTCAATTATCAGTAGTAGTTAAATCCCAGTAATTTGTATTTATTATCACTCATCCCTTCTTATCACAATTACAGCTGCACTGTTCAAGTCTAGAACCTCTGCTGTTTGTATTTCAAATGGGAATCTCATATTCTGCTTATTCTATATATACCTGTACAAAATTACATATTCATGGCCTTGTTTCCTTGAGAGTCTGTAGGCAGGAGTTACCCTGGTTATAGCAAGCAAAGACTTCAGCAGCAGAGACAGCCTGTTGTATACGGTGTACGAAACTTTGATTTCTTTGTCACACCTAAAGAACACAAAGGGGAAAAAATGAGTCTTTTATTCACGCCTAAGTTGTTTGTTTTTGGTTTTTTTTTATAAAATCAAAATTAGTCTGGGCCAATTGTTTAATGCCAATTTCATTGCAAAATTATAAAATAAAGCCCGAGTGTGGCTACTTGTTATTGAGCAGCCAGCTGAGAGCCTACTTCAATCTAGACACTTGTCGTAAAAGTGACTGGTGAGAAATTCCATGCAGCCTTCTATTAGAAAGAAACATCTTTTCAGTATTAAAAACATTTGTCATTACTGAGTATATGAATTCTTGTATCTGAGGAAGCAGATGTTGTTGTAATGAATGAAGAAGGAATGAAATTACTAGTTTGTTTTCTTGACACCAATGTTGAACAGTTTGACTGCTAGACTAGACAGAGGACTTCCCATTTCATCAGCTAAAACACAAACACACACAAAGCAAGTGTGAAGAACGAAGAGTGTACTTACTTCTCATTCATTTCAAGACACCAAATTTCCAGCTCCATGGAGTCCCCCTGTATAAGAGAAAGGATGTCAGAGAAAGGCTAATTTCAGAACACACTCTTATATCTCCTTAAAGATCAACAGCAGCCACAGCTCTCAATGACAATGTTTCTCCCTGCTCTCACCCTCTTGTAATGCAACAGAAAAAGGTGCATTGGAAGTCTCACTACACAATTAGATCACCTGAGGGAATACCTTCCTCAGAAGTTCTTCAAGGTCTAAGAAACTAGATTTTGCTGCTTTATCATTTGTGTGTTTGGCCTCAGTTATTTGCAGTGGGTTGCTTATGTTGATGTATTTCTTATCATTAGCATACTACCTAACTGCATAAGTGAAGATACTTTCACACTGTCGTGGACTAAAAGGCAGGAACTCTGGTAGGTGACTTAAGATTCAACTGAAAAAAATGGCATCTATTTTGACTCAGTTCTCACCTCTGAGGTTTTGAGAGAAATCTCCACGCACATAGACCTTCCAACCGCAGGGAGTTGTCCTGCCAGGGCTTTCTTTGCTTCATGAGTAACCTCTGGTATATCTTTGATTGCCAAATTGAACTGCAGAACACAAGAAATGATTTCATTTCTTTGAGAAACTGCCTAATGGTACACTGCAGACAAACTCGTAGACCCATATAGAACATACTAGGTCAGTGTTCACTGACATATTGACGAAACAGAAAATTCCCAGATGGACTCAGGCTTTTCATATTTGCAAACACTTCCTTGGTTGTTAATTCAAATGTTTTTCTTGATCCTGCCATAAAAATAATGTTTTCCCTCACTTGAGTCCTATCTTTACCCACAGAGTAACCTGAATCTCTTCAAAGCCCATTACTATAAAGTCCTGAACTGACGAGTTGCAAACTTCTTAGAGAACAGAACTCCTCACCCCACCCCCAGCAGATCCTGAAAAGGAGCCTTAGCTGGCAGGAGCTGCTGAGAGGTATCATTGCTCTCTCCTCTCATCAGCCCTTTAGAGCCCAGAGTGACATGTTGTATGTAAACAACAAAAAATCCCACACCACTAATGAACATATTTGAATGTAGTAGTTATGCTATGAATACTTGTTATAATCTGCATGAGACTGTAACTACACTGTGTTCTCAACACGTATGTGCACACACACATGAAAGAAACTCTAAAGAGTTAATGGAATTGCTTTAACACCCCATGACTTTACCCAGTCAGAGCCTGTTGGGGAGGATGATGATCGGGTACAGATTTTCTCTCCAAGTCGGGCCTGGACAATCACTTGTACCGTCTGGAACAGAAAGGAAAAGATACACACTCATGTTCTGAGCTCAGCAGAGCCCTCAGCTAAGAGCCTGAGCTGGACAAATTCCAAGTAAACAAAATATGAGAGGGCTGAGCAGGATGTAGAGAAGTAGAGTTTGCTACACTAATGTTCAGGTCTAACTGGTTTGAATTATTACAGG